TGCTTAAAAACGAACCAACAGAAAGACACTGTAAGGCAGTTGTTTAAGTCTCAGGGAACTATAATTGTTTTCTTTTTCTTTTTCTTTTTTTTTTTTTGTCTCCCTCTGTCACCCAGGCTGGAGTGCAGGGGTGCGATCTCGGCTCACTGCAAGCTCCACCTCCGGGGTTCACACCGTTCTTCTGCCTCAGCCTCCCAAGTAGCAGGGATTACAGGTGCCCACCACCACGCCCGGCTAATTTTTTGTATTTTTAGTAGAGACGGATTTTCACCGTGTTAGCCAAGATGGTCTTGATCTCTTGATCTCGTGATCCACCTGCCTCGGCCTCCAAAAGTGCTGGGATTACTGGCGTAAGCCACCACGCCCAGCCAACTGCAATTTTTTTTAAAGCTTGTAGAAGTACTGTGTGCTACCAACAGATAGGCTAATTTTGAGTGACCCTCAGTACTTTGTACAGTTAATTTGGCATGCTGTGTACTTAGTGGCTTTTTAATAGCTGTAAATTTGGGCTGCTAGAAAAGTGGTAAAGTTGTGATTCTTGACAGGCATCTATCTGCATTTTAATTTTTACTTCATTTGTCTAGACTCAGCTTGTCAGAATTACGGGAGAGACTCCTTGTGTCAGGGCAAGCACTGTGAAGAGAGGTATTCACTGTCAGAAAAGAGAGGGGAGCTGGAGGCAGCTCAGAGGCCTGAGACCCGCCTCCACAGGGGCCCCAGCAGGCTCAACGCGGCTCTGGTCAGACTCTCCTCTGGGGTGCTGCAGTTAGAATGAGTTCACTTCCTAGCCAGGCTTGCCAAGGCTCCTCACCTGGAAGCAGCAACTGCCCAGGGCTGTTGGATGTTTCTCCCCAGGGAACAGCCAGGTCCCAGTCCTGCCTCAGTGTGGAAGGAGGAAAGGCAGGGTCCAGGAAGCTGTTTCAGGACAGGCCCAAGGTCCCCCAGGGACACCTTGCAGGGTCCGCGGAGGCTGTAAGTCAGCACTGCCCACACAGCCTGGAAGAGGCCCCTGTGCTGTCGACTTGCCCGGCTCCTAGTCCGGCTTCTGCTCCTCCTTTGTAAGGTTATGGATATGCTAATAGTTTATAACTGAAACTAGGAAAGTAAGTCCTATTTGACACTGTTTGGTCAGAAAGAGGGAGAGAAAGGAGAAGGGCGGAGAGAGACTGAGAGAGAAACAGTCTCTCTCAGACAAAGGGAGGCAGAGGGAGGGAGGGAGAGACAGAAAAAGAGATGGGAGGTAGGTGTGGGAGGAGGGAGAGATGGAGAAGGCAGAGGAAAGACAGACAGAGATTTAGACCTTCCAAGTCAGTGAGCAGTCCAGAGTGGGAGCGGAGGGTGCCTGATGGCTTGTGACTGCAGACTCCACTCTCCGCTCCCAGAGGCACAGCCATGGACAGCTTCTGTCACATTGGCCCTGCACTTAATCTCTGCATCTATTTCCCCTTATGCAAGATTCAGAACTGTGTGCTCCAAAAAAACAATAAAAACATTCATGTTCATAAGAATTGCACAGGTGAAAGGTAGTTTGCTGATATTGTTGTATTTTCTACTATCGATTCTTTTAGCTCTTGCCTGAAATTGTTTGGGTTTCCCAGGCAAAGTAGAAAACTGCAGTACGTTTCTGTGAAATAATTTTTCCTTCTGGCATCGCCCTTTACGGACCTACTGATCTTGATTTTTCATTTAGGTGAAAGTTTGTGAAAACATGCCATTAGCTTGCTTTTGTGATTAACTCCTTTTACTGAATGTAAGCTCCTTTTAAGCTGAAGCCGTATCAAGCTTAAATTCCCTGTTTTACTTGGCACTCTGTGTTTCTTCCATGTGGGAGAAGAGGGACTCAGTAAGTGCTTTGTAAAATACACAGCCAAAGTGATGCACGTGCTAACAAAGGAGTGTGACAGGACGTAAGTGCCCTTCTAGACACTTCAGGCTCCCTTTTGTAAGCTGTCTTGGAAGAGGCCACGTTTCCTTTCCCTCAAACAGTTTCTCATTGTTTGATTATTCTTTTAGCCTTTCTCTGGAAGCAAAGCCACTTTTACGAGAAAGTCACTGCTTTTCATCTCAAGAGATGCAAGTTTGGAGTTTGGGGAAGTTTTCAGGAGCCCGTCAAGTCATCCTTTATGATGTCAGACGAGTCAGGCCACGGAATTCACAGGGCTCAGTGCAGACTGAAAACTCGAGGCTTCTTGTTCAGAAATTATTAAAAATTTTGGTGAACATCACACCAAGCAAAGAGATCCCCTAAGCACCAGCCCCCAAGCAACTGCACTCATAAGCCCATGAAGCCCCCTGCCGTCAGAAACGGTGTGGTTGAAATTGTGTATGAACTTGGAAGTGAGGTGGATTGCAAAACGCAGGTCTCCATGCTGGGGCAGGAAGTGGTGATAGGGCATTGAGTGGAAATGTCCAGCAGGCCCACGTGCGAAAATGCAGAGCTCTCTGCCTCTTGCAGACTTGGCTGCTAACCATAGACTCTCTCCAGGAAGGTGCTCGCTGTGGTGTGATCTGCTGCCCACCCCCAGCTCCCTCCAGGAGACTGGTGCGGGGACTGTTTGCAAATGACTGCAAAAGTAAGGAGGTTCCCACAGAGCCGAGCTTGATTTGGGTACCAGCCGAGGACAGTTTGTCAGGATTCTGGCTTGAAACTGTTCTCACATCTCACCCCCTGAAAGGACGAATGTGTCTGGAGGACTTAGCATCGATCACCTCTGTCTCCATGCAGCAAACTCAGAGGCTCACCCCACATTCCACTGGAAGGGTGTTTGCCAGTGGTGCTTGGGTGGAAGAGCCTTGACTGTGCCTTAGGAAACATCTTTTTATAAAAAATTGAAAGTAACTTGAGTATGCAACAATAGGGCATTGGTTATATAAATCAGTTGAGTAGTGTGTAGCCAGTAAAATGATGATGGTGGTGTATATTTGTTAAATAAAAAGATATGTGTAGTATTAAATTAAAGAATATTTTAAAACAGTATATTTGTAATCTGTTTAATGTCCTCTTTTTGTAAAAAGCACAGAAATAAATATACAGAAAAAGATAGTAGTCCTAAGTGGTAGAAATTATGAGCATTTTCTTGCCTTTAAAAAAAGTTATAAAAGATTGTATCATTTATGTAGCAAAAAGTTTAAAGTCATCATTCTAAAAATTTCGTGTTGGTATAGTTGCTGTGACAAGATTTAACTTCTGTATGCTTCACCAACCAATACAGAGGTATTTAAGACCTGGTGTGTGATAGGCCACACTAAAATACTATACACATCTTCAGAAAGCTAAAGAACTAACTTCTAACATCCTGTATTAGTGTGGCACAGCTATTACAAAGATTTTTGTCACTTGAGTCTGTCTTGTTTCTTTATCATTGTTTTGACAGTTTCAGAAGAATCATGGCTTTTCCCCTTTTTTACAGTAAAGGCATCTGAGACTCTTGACGTATTGCTTTTTGGAAATGCTTGTGCTGGTCACATGCTTGCATCTGGGCTAGTGTGTCTGGCTTCCGTGTGCTGGTGGATGCTTACTCTGGTTTCTGAAATACTTTTTCTGTACAGTGGCCAGTGGCTGCACTCCTAAGCCACACACCCACCTTGAAAATTCATGCCACTTTTAGAAATAGATAAAAATCCCTCCCATCCAGAAAAAGTGACTATCACGTATATCCTCATCATAACTAATACTGATATTCCTGAAATTGAAAATATATTCCATATGTACCATAAAAGGTATTAAAGATATATGGAGTGATAGATGTATTATATATAACACTTCTACCATCACAGTTTTCAGCCTAATTGAGAGGGTAAGGTCCCTGAATCATCCATCAGTTTTCAGATCTCTGCTGAAGCAAGCCGCAGCTCAGATCCACACATCTGAACCAGAGACAGAGGTGGCCAAAAATAAAAAGGGATACAGGGGGACAACTTGGTTTAGAGTCAACAATTAGACTGTATTTTCTGCTTAGTGAAGGAGCTCTCCTGAAATTCATTTACCGCAGCATAAATGAGCAGATTTCCTTGAGGTCACCTTCTGCTGACCATAGCTTTCTTATCTGTGGAGCTGCCAGCTGTCATCCACTTCGGGGCACCTGAGACTGCTGAGTGGCAGGCCAGGACCCCAAGTGCGAAACACAGCACACCTTTTTGTTTCTACTCCACTGACCCTGGGGTTCTCTCCCTGGTGTTTGTGGCTTCTAGTGCACTCTGTGGAACATTCACTGTGGCCATCGAAGGACAGCATCTTCCCAGTTGTTTCTTTTTTTTTTAATTTAAACCAATCTGAGAAGCCAACCATCTGTCAGCAAAACAGGAAGGCTTGGGCTCTCTCCTGGGCTCGTTTTGCTGCCGTCGTGAGCGTCACTTCTCCCCGTGTAAGAGTGCTGGTGAAGGCTGAGGCAAGGGCCCAGAAAGATTGAGGGACAAAGACAGGAGCGCCCGCATTGCCCATCTGCCAGGCTGGAGGTGTATTCATTATTGATGGAGGTAGTGCAGTTGCTGCTCAGATATGCAGCCCTGCCTGGGTAAATGAGACATTCTTCAGCAAATTGCTTCGTTTTTTGATTGCTGATTGTACGCGTGTCACCAAGCTGACTCAAGGTTCATCGATGCATGCTCAGTAAATTAGAAAGAACATAACTATGGATCAGCCAAGAGAATGAATTCTGTGCCTACAATGACCCAGGGCCATTTAATTTTCTGCTTAATTTTGTTGCAGTCAGTTTGCATTTTGGGTTATTATGCAGTAGGAAATTAACAATAAATAACAAATTTGGTCCTCCTGTGCTTGTAATGATATTTTTATAAATCTTTGTAATGCTGTTTTTAAAAGGATCAAGGTCTGTGCCAGTCTGATACTCCGGCAAGTATGTAAGGAGGAAAATGCATTATTCTTGCTAGATAACCTTGTTGTTAAATAGCATAGGGGTTCTCTATCTCTCTCTCTCTCTCTTTCTCATATCTTATTGGTATTTTTGCTTTAAACTAAAATCCCTTCCTCTCTTTCTCAGATAACCTGAGGACAATGGATGCTGATGAGGGTCAAGACATGTCCCAAGTTTCAGGTGAGACCTTATGAGATACCCACGTGGGAAGTTTATGAGAAAAGTTTCCCTGGGGCCAGAAGTCAGAGTGCTTGGTGTGGCCATGGGGGAGGACTAGCGGCTATTCTGCAAAAGAAAAGACCATGATGGAAATTGCCTGAGTGTTTCCTTCACCCATTACAAATTATCTCACTTTGAGAAGCTGAACAGAAAGTCTCCAAGATGAAATTAGTTTTACTATTAAACCTCAGGGAAAAAAATGGGAAGAGTTAAATACATATTTGTACTGTTGGAAGGAAAAATGGCTGATTGGTCTGCCCTAAAACCCAAACACATGCCAGTGATGGTACTTAGAGAGAGAGAGAGAGAGAAGCTTGAAAAACAGAATTGTTGGGCACAGTCGTGACTATTTGTTCATCAAGCATGGACACAACATGGCTCCCCTTTGCCATGTATCTTTTCAACCCATGTTGGACATAGCTCTTCTCATCCAGGAGACCCAGGAAGTGGAGAAGTCTGTGTAGGAAAAGCCTAAGGGTAGGTCACAGACTGTGACTATTTGGCAGTAGTGAGGAGGGACAGCCAGCCAGTCCAACAAAACCGCACAGTTCCCCAGTGCATGGACATAGGAAGACAGCTTTCTGTCTGGCCCTGTATCCAGAGGCGTCAGGCCCAGTAGTGGCTTTCACAGACTTTGGAGTTTTAGGTATTTCACATTTTTGAGCCTCACAGACTCACAACCAGCCCCAGAGGCTGACTTCTGTTTGAGAAAGGTCTCTCAGTGGCACCTTGCCTTGGCTGAGCACCCTTGTGTTTGGAAGTTTCTATGGGATTGCACAAGTCAGTGCTCCTGATGAAGACCAGGACCTGTGTGTGACTGCTCCCCTGCTTGGTGGCTTCCCTGGAGAAGGTGCAGGAGAGGACCTTCTGAGTTCCATGGAACTGGAGATAGATCTGCCAATCACAGGCTTCCTTCTCCACCACTCCATAGCCGCTCTATTCATGTTTCAGGTTTTGGACTTAAACTCTCCCAGATGCAAAGAACAAACAAAAGGCTAGCTTGTTTTTCCTTTAGAGTTAGGCTTTGTATTTATTACAATATAATTTCCACATTCTTTGTGTACATTTATATCTTAAATATAATTCTCTGTTTGTATATCATTGAATATTTTCACTTAATTTTTAATTTTTTTTAATCGACACAAAATAGTTGTGTACAAAAATCATTGGGTGCATAGTGATGTTGTGATACATACAATGTATAGTAATCAGATCAGGTAAATCAGCGTATTCATCATTTCAAACATTTATCGTTTCTTTGTGTTGGGAACATTCAACATCTTCCTTCTAACTATTTGAAACTATATATTATTGTTGACTACAGTCATCCTGCAATGGTGTAGAACACTAGAACTTATTCCTCCTACCTAGCTGTAATTTTGTTTCCTTTAACAAATCTCTCCCTATCTTCCCCTCCCCCAACCTTTCCAGTCTCTATTAGCCTCTGTCCTGCTTTTTACTTTGATGACAGCAGCATTTGTTAGTTTCCACATGTGAGTGAGAACATGTGGCATTTTAACTTATAGAATGTGGTATGCAGGCACTTCATGGTACAGTTGGTAAAAGTGAAAATGTGTCCAAAAGCTTGTGATTATCTATGTAAACAAAAATGGTATAAATCCAAATATCAATTTTGCATTGAAGAACTTACCTTAGAGGTACATTCTCACAAGTGCACAGAGCATTTAAACATTTGTTCACTGCAACATTGTTACCAGTATTTTAAAACTATGGTACATCCATGTACTTCCACATAGAGCTCTTAAAAATAAGGAGGATATGAATGAACTAGTATGAAAGGAAGTTCAAATACATGTGAAAGTGAGAAAAGCATGGTTCTGGATAGTATGCAAAGTATGATCCCGTTCTTTAAAAAGAAAATAAATTACATACACATACACATTTTCTATATGCTTGCCCATAACGTTTAGGAAAATTCTAGAGTGATATTTATTAACCTGGACTTCCTCTTGGAAGATTGATGGTAGAAGGAAGGGGATGAGTTAGGGAAGAGGTGGAGGAGAAGGAAAACTTTGCTTTTCATCTTCTACCTTTTAGCATTATTTGAATTTATTTTCCTTAAGCATATACTTTGTTTCTTAAACAAAAAAGCACAACAGCAAAAAACTAGTTAAATGGGAAAAAAGCAGTTTAGCTCTTTATAGCCTCTCATTTGGCTTTGCCAGCCTCTCACTGCAGCCTAGGAAAGCTGGTCTGGGAAACACTGGTAGATGAGGACTGTGATCCTCACTCATGGAAGAGGATCTCATTCACTGGGTTTGCTGACTGTGACTAGAAGTGATTAGAGTGTCAAGAAACCCAAGCATGTTAAAAATTTCCAGAGACCAAAAAGATGCTTTCATTGTTCTGCTCTTCTTCTTTTCCTTGTCGCTTTCACTTTGGGTAGCTTCTAAATTGGTATTTTGCATGGTGCATTTAAAGAAAATGAGACCCCTTTGGCCAATGCAGGGGTCTACACTCTGATATTCTAGAGTCAAAGCTGAATGCTGACACCTAGGGATTCATCTCTAGAATATTTCTATAAGGAATAGCCACTCAGTATTCTGATCTCATATCTTAGTAACAAAACTAACAAAAGCCTGATTCTCCTCTGGTAGTTTTCTTGTCTTTACCATTATACAAAATAAGTAATTTTTTCTGCACCCTAACCGTTCAAAGGATAGGGTAGCTGGGGGCGGGGACAAGAATGGAGACCTTATTACATAAGACTTCCTGAAAAAGGAAAGTCTGTTTTTGTTTGAAATGATTTGGTCTGAAATTTAGTTTGTGTACACTTACCAAAGGGATTCCTATTTCTAAAACACTCATAGTACTTTTGATTTCTGTTAACCTTTGAGCACTCTACATAGTGATGAGAGCACTTAAAGTGTCATGTCACTTTTAGGAAAGAATCAAAGAATATTTTTTCTACTTCTTGGAGTTTGATCTCTGCTTCTCCAGTTAAAACCAGTATTTGTTTTTTTTTCATTTCTAAAGTTGGAAGAAATAACACTTAGTTATGGCATAAGGATGTACATTTAACCAAATAGGAGTTGACATTCTTGACAAGAAATCTTATCAAGATTATGTTATAGATTATAAGAAATCTTATCAAGAATATGTTCCTAAATCATCCTCTTTTCTCATAAAATATTCATGTATCAGCAATTTCATTGGATTCAAACTAATGTATGTGAAATGCTTGATAAACAGATAAATACTTAACATCTGTCTTTTTTCAAAGCACTGGGTTCTTTGTTCCTTGAGATGTATAAATGTGGGCTATGCCCTGGTTTACAGTGTCTCACAGATGTGTAGTAGTAGACACTCCATAAGCATTTACTGACTTGAATTCACAGAGTATTGAGAAAATGCTATTGATGGACTTGGAGGAGAGCATATCTAAAGCAAGCTACCCTTTCCTTTAAGGCACATCTCACTAATTCTTTGGGTAAAGCATATTTTTTCTTTCTTTTGTGTTTTTGGCAGTCTTTCCAAAATACGTGTTATACCTATGCATTATTTTTTGGTTTGGTTTCTAAAGAGTCAACCGGTAGGAAAGTAAAGGATATGGGAGTTGAGAGACGTGCATCAGCATCCCATCTCTGCCTCCCACGATGGGACCTGAGACAGTTATTTTTGCCTCCTAGACCACCATAGTATCATCTGTAACAGGAGGGACTTGAGCCAGTTGATCTCTAAGGTTCCTCTGGCACTTGTGACCCTAAATATGTATTGGATATTGGCTTAATGCTATTTGTAGTGTGGTTTTTTGGGGATATGGAAACCAGAAGTATACCCTTAGAGGTATATAATCTGCTTACATAAAGAAGGTTTGTATATATTGCAGTGTAAATGGGAATATTTTATCAAGTTAAGCATAGTAAATCACATTGATTAAATGCTTTGTATTTACCAAACATTACCTGAAGTGTTTTCTCATTTCAACCTCACAAGGACCCACAGAAGAAAATACAGTTATCATTTCCAACCTGCAGGGAGCTGAGACTCATGGAATTTAAGTAACTGACCAGAAGTCCAGTAGGGAGTCAGAGATGGCTCTGGGGTGGGATCCCCACTTGGACCCTAGAGTGCAAGCTTCTCCACTACTTGATAGAGTTGGGATTCTATATTTTGAGCTTGTATTTACCCAGAGAATTATGTCCTCTTGGGCAATTATATATACTAAAACCCCATGCATTTGGGAGAGGGGGGATCATAGAACTTTGTGGAGTGAATTATACTCTACTTGAGAAATTATCTGCTTACAGTTTATAAGCTAATTATACCATATCTCATCCAGTTTTCCCAGAACACTTCACATAGGTAATGCTTTATTTGAAACATAGGCCATAGGTAAGTTAAGTGTAAATGTGTAATTTAACCAGAAGTTTATTTCATTTTTCTAAGTAAGTGAATTGTATTGCATCTTCTAAATTATTCTATTTAAACACTTGATGTCTTGCTGTCTCCATCTCTGTGTGTTTGCATGCCATTGTACATGTTCTTAGGAAAAGTGTGGGAGCTTGATACAATATATACCTTATGTTTCTATGTACATATAGTTTACCAAATAATACCATAAGTTTACTTAGCATATTATAATCCATGCACATTATTTTTATTTTATCTTCACTGCAACCCTGTGAGATAGACCAAAATCATGTTTTTCAGCCTCCTTTTTCCACTTGTGGAAGGAGTCTTAGAAAGGGGACCAGTCTTGTGTTCCCATAGGTCTTACAACTAATTGGTCAAGCCACAAAGCCAGAACTATGTCCTGGGTCAACTAACTCCTAGTCACTGTGTGTTAGTATTTGAGATGTGTTGACTTGTTTTAATCATTTTAGTGTTTTATAATATTTACATACTTTCACATTTTAAATGGTTAACTGGACAAATTTGTTTAAAATCAATGCATAAAAATACTGTGCCTATATTGATGGGGTTCATGAAGTGATAACTTTTCATCATGGAGATCCTCAGCTATCACAGACGATGAGGGGCCCCGGGCACAGAGGCTCACGTGAGGGATGAAATTCTCAGCAGCTCGGACTCACACTTTGGGGCTTTTAGGCAAATCAGACAACCTCTTAAGAACTATCACTGAGTTCAGGCAAGGCGAGCTTGAATTAACATGGAGCCCTTGGTGGGCATGTGAATATATCTCACTTCACTACCATCCAGTTCTGACTCTTTACTCGATGCCCCTGTACATGCCAAGACTGATTTTTTATTCTCCCTTCTCCCCATGTGGTTTCTTCTGCATAGAGAGTTCCTATTGATCAGTCTGACCCATGGTATTTTAGAATTACGATCCCTACTGTTTCATTATTCCTTTTTCTCCCCCATGTTGAAAAAAATAAATGTCCTGAGATGCAAGATCAGGGACACTGGAGCACTGACATTTAGTTCAGTGCAGGAAGTAAAGGCAGATGTAATTCTTAAGAAGCACACCTGTTATTATGAACCATCCTCAACAAATTGTAGTGGATCTTGTTCTCTCATAGATACAGCAGTTAAATTTTTTAGTAAAAGTAACTAAGAGTTATTTGGATGTATTTTAGCATGCACTGAGCAGAAAGTACGACATTTTTTCACTGGGTAAGTCCTGATTCTTTATGATCCTTCCTGGGTTCCAGGGTGCTGTGCGTCTAAAGGCATCTCAGAGCATCCTGCAGTGCTCCAGCGCGATCACAGGGAAAAGCTATAGGCGGAAAAGAGTCAATAAAGTTTAGTTTCTCAACGTCCCTCCCCCACCCCATAATAATGACAGCTGGTTAATCATGAGACACATGCACACCCTACACGCTCTGTACATGTTTACTCATTGGGATAGCATGTCAGGCCAGGAGGCTCCATGGTCATTTCTATGAAGGTACTTTAGCAGGTCTTCAAGGCAAGTGGCCTGGGTCCCTGCCTCCCCAAATTGCAAGGTCCCCACTTTATGTAGGGGACCCGTTGTGTATATTACAGTTCTGTGTAAGATTATTTTGTTATTCTTACCCCCACCCCTCCGCTGCCAAAAAATAAAAATAAAAATAAGAATTCCTCTGACAACCTTCCTAAAGTCCTGGAAGTTTGAGCATCATTGCTCTAGGAAATCATCTTATACAAAAATTAGAGTTGTCAGGTGGTTCATATACCTCCTGCATTCTCCTATTTGGAGTTTTTCTCCATTTATGAAAGAACTGAAAACAGTAAGATATTTAGCAATTGTTACTTTAAAAATTTTCTATTTATAGGCCGGGCACAGTGGCTCATGCCCGTGATCCCAGCACTTTGGGAGGCCAAGGCAGGCGGATCATGAGGTCAAGAGATTGAGACCATCCTAACACGGCGAAACCCCATCTCTACTAAAAAAAAATACAAAAAATTAGCCAGGCATGGTGGCGGGCACCTGTGGTCCCAGCTACTTGGGAGTCTGAGGCAGGAGAATGGCTTGAACCCGGGAGGCGGAGCTTGCAGTGAGCCAAGATCACGCCACTGCACTGCAGCCTGGGTGACAGAGTGAGAATCCATCTAAAACAACAAAAAAAATTCTATTTATAGCAATGAAAATAGTACTGACTTAATACACATTTCCAAGGCTTTAGCATAACATGAGCACTTTCAATCAATGTCTCGCTGGCCTTTTGTTTTTCCTTGGGAAATTCTTATAATCCTGCTCCATCTTTAACTATTAATTTTGTATTGGCTATCCAAATATACCCAATAATGCTCTTTCTGAAAATATGCCAATTGTGGTAATTACAGCTAAGCTGGAATATTAAATTGTAATGTCTGTTTTCCAGAGAATGAAATAGTATTCCCCAGAGCATAGGCTTGGTGCCTGTGCAGGTTCTATTTTAAATATTCCAGGAAGGGTTGTTTTATATACCGGGAATGATTTTACTGGTCTTGCCAGTCATTTGAAATGCCGGTGTTACTCTTGTGTAAGGTTTATTCAACAAACAAGGACATTTCACACAACACCTAGTCATGTTTTTCAGACCTTTTAATGTTTGGTTCATCATTTGCACACACTCTCAAAAATCTAGGTTTGTCTGTGTGTTCATATCACCTTGCCTGTTGCCAGCTCAGTCAGCAGGCACACACTCCCAGGCTGTTGCTGTTTCATTAGACTTCTTCAGGACCTTCCTCTAAAATGGTCTTCCACACGTAGCTATACTGCATTAGTTCACATCATCTGTTTCTTGCATGTGGGTTGTGTCTCAACTCAAGTTTAAGTTAGATCTGGAAGGGTGGAAACTATAGGAGTTGTCAGTGGAGAAAAGAGCCTTTCCTTCTAGTTGTGGCTTCCCAAGGAAGGTTGGATTCCTCAGAGTAGGAGTGACTTCCCATTACTAGAGCCTCTGGTCAAATTAAATTCTAATCCAGTCAAAATAAATACAGGTATTCTGTAAAACCCGATTTCATTTTGTAAATCTTACTTTGTATAGTGTAAGCAATTTTTGTATTTGTATGGATTATATTTTATTTTCCTATTTCAAAGAAAAGAATTTGTGTTAGCAGACTCCCTTTGCTTGCAGAGAGGGGATCATTTTCCCAGTAGGCATGGGGTTCCCTTCCATTCCCTGTCCAGTCTTCTTCTCCCCACCAAGTTAAGTCAAACTAAGCAGCTGGTAAGATATTCCCTGGCTCTTGCAAAGAAAGTGAGCAGATGGCAGGATACCTGGTGTGGTATCCTCAGACACAAATTGACAGCAGGGTATGGTGCGGCAAGCTCATTGTGGCAGTAAATTGGAACAAGCTTACAGGGGGATAAGTTGACAAAAGATAGGAAGAACCTTAAAAATATAGATGCCTTTTACTCAGTGATAAAACATCTAGATATTTATACTGTGGTGATTATCAGGAATATGTGCAATGATTGACTATTAGGATGTTCGTTACAGTGTTGTTTAATAATAAAAAAAGGACAGAAAACAATATGAACTCGAAAACAGGAAAAGAACTTAAATAAATCCTAGTGTGCCCATTATAAATGAAATTATGGAAATATGTCCCTGAGTATGGAAATATGTACATGAGAATGTCTAAAAGCTAGTTCATTTTGAAAAACAAAATGATGTCACCTCATATTATTTATAGTATATAAGATGATTTTTAAAGTGGCAGTGTCTGGGATTATAGGTGATTGTATTTCTTCCCTTTTGCACATCTGTGTTCTCTCATTTGTCTTGTGTGGGGAGAAGTGACTTTTCATATAAAAAGAAAAAGGTATATGCATCCCAGCAGAGAAGCACTGGCTCTACCCAATACCTGCCTCCTCATGCCACTCTCTCAAGCCAAGCCAGGGGGAAGCCCAGGCACCTTGACCATGACCGCCCGAGACTCACGCTTCTTCTTTCTCTTCAGGGAAGGAAAGCCCCCCAGTAAGCGATACTCCAGATGAGGGCGATGAGCCCATGCCGATCCCCGAGGACCTCTCCACCACCTCGGGAGGACAGCAAAGCTCTAAGAGTGACAGAGTTGTGGGTAAGTGGGTCACCAGCGGCCTCTGTGCCTGTGAAACCTTTGTCTCTTTGTATTTTTCCAAGACAGTGATGAAGGGATACGAGTCATTTTATCCATTGTGTTCCCTCAACTGGCATATAAGAAACATGGCACAGAGATTGGCTGGATGGGGTCCTCTGGTGTGTGGGAGGATGGACACTCACAGGCCAACATGGCCATGAGAGCCACACACCCCGCAAAATGTCCAAGTTGAGGAGCAATCCTGCCCAGGGAGGCGTCTCTGTCACTGTCCTCTGTCCTCACTGCACTTGCAGGAATATCAAATGTTATGGATTGTAGATCGTGAAAATGACACACTTATGTGTTTTGGCAACAGTGCTCTTCAGTGTTTGGGGTTAGAAGAAGCCACATCTGGCCATTTTATGTTATCCCTCTAATCTCTAGTTCTTAAAATTCAGATTTAACTAAAAACAGAAAGTTTTTTTATGACAATGGTAATTTTTAAATGTTATAAAAAAAAATCTAAGCACACATTTACATACCTTTTCCATAAAAAAGTACATATGGAACCATCTGCAACTCCACTGGTCAACTTACACATGTGACAGTTTGTGTTTGGAAAACTTCGCCCACCCTCTTTATTTCAAGAAACCAATGACTGAGAGAAGTTCAGTGAATTAACCAAGGTCAAATGACACGGTCAGAATTGAACTGAATTTCTGACTCAAAGACTAGTTCTCGCTCCGTTATACCATGTTCTCATGAGCTATTGAGTCAACGGTTCCCTGGAATACTTGCTTTCTCCTTTAAAAAGAGAAAGAGCTGTGATACTGAAAGCCACCTGTTGGCATAAAAGAATATCATGAAGGACAAACAGGTAAAATGAGGTAGATTGGATCAGTGTGGGTCAGCTGCATAAGCCCCCATAGCCAAGGAGGGAACATGTATTTAAAATTCTCAGGCTTATGAGAATCGCCTCAACTGTCTGTCTATAGGACATCCTAATGCAATAATGGAAAATGTGATAACTGAGAATTTTATCTACATGTGTAGAAAACATATTTTGTATGCTTTTTATGTGTCTTAGAAACCAAGTGGACTAGGTATAATGGTTCTTTTTTCTTTTAACTCAGCAGCACAGTTAATGGCATAAACAGATAAAGATGGTGGCTAAAGCCATTTGGTGTAGATGAATCCAGAAAGCAAGTATATTTATGAATTATTTTACGCTATTGGAAAATGGCTACTATATGAAAGTAGAGGGGAAGAGAAATGAACTTGTGGATTATCTGCTCTATTCTACCGAAGAAAGATACATATATCATTTCAGGCTTTTCCAAAGTTGGGATGCAAATGATCATGTTTCATTTTAATTTATGTATTTATTTTTGAGATTGTCTTCTATGTATTGCAAGTGATACTGGTTTTACCATACACTGTGCCACTACAAGGGTTCCTTTCAAAACACATTTATGTAAATTAAAAAATCAGTTTAAATAAAAACATTAAGTCAATAGTAACACATAGATATGAGAAAAGTTTGCAAAAGTGGCGCAGGAATAGTCATTGGGTGGTGATGTTCCCTGATTTTTTTTAGTCCCTGAAGCACCCAGCGCCAAGGGTACTGTTCTCCCTGATTAACACAGGAGCAAACAGATGCTCACACCCTGCCCAAGAACACAGAGAGGCTCAGGGACTGAACCAGAAGAAATGATCCATTAACCATGTAAATGAATGGAGAGCCTGGATGTCAGAGTGAGGAGGCCGGCTCGGGTCACTGTGGAGAGAGAGATGGGCTCTCCCTGGAATCCCTGCAACTGCCCTTAAAGGCTGTGAGCCATCGTGGCTGGGGCACCTTTAGAGAACTGAAAGTCAGGCCGATTCCTGGAGAGTGAAGAATAGCACACATGCCTTCAAAACAGTGTCAGTATCCTGTCCCTTATGGACGTCATATTGTTAGTGGGTTTTCCTGGGTGGGAGACCACCCAACATGTGGTTGGCATTACTGATGGGTTCCCAGAGCTGTGTCTCTTGGTTCAAAGCCCTGCCCTCAGTCCCAGCTGCCCCCAGCACAGGCATCACCTTGGAGTCAGGGGCGGGTTTGTCCTTGCCCGTGGGTCCTGGCCTTGCCCTTTGTCATGTTTAACATGATTTTCAGTCTACCTTTCCTTCAGGATGAAGTTTAGAAAATATGATTTCAGAATTGTGAAATTTAAAAACCCTAGAAAACGTCTTTGCTCAGCTTGTAAATAGCAGTTGATGCAGCCCTGTGGACAGGCGGGGACAGCATGTGACGTGGGCACTGAGATGATTTGGGAGATGAATGCTCCTCAGTGGGGCTAAAGGCCACAGGAGTGATGGGTTACTGTAAAGAAAGCAAAAAAGGTGCAAAAGCCCACATGACAAACCGGGCACCACACAAAGGAGAGGCTTGAGAAGAGGAAGTGAGGGAGGGAGAGGATCCCACAAGACCGAAGTGCCCAAGAAGACATGGAGGGAAGAGAGGGCTCTTCACATAGCTGAGTTTAGAGACCACCCTCGATGGTTCTGGAAGGAAACCAGCCGGCTTTCATATGTGGTGACAGACTGTTCATTAATTTGTAGTGTATAGCATTAAATAAATGAAGTATGTAGAGAACATTAGGAAACAATATAAAAAGGTGGGGGAATTCGTGGATAAAGGAAATAAACTGGGTGCCATATTTCATCACATTATTCCATGGGAATAAGTCATCAGTGCAAAGGACTGTAAAGAGCGCACAGCAGGAAATGAGAAGACAGCCCTCCCCGGGACAGAAGTAGTGGGGCCGGCAGGAGGAAATGGAGTTGCTGAAATGCAGGGTGAGCAGCAGGGGCGGAGAGTGCCCTGTGGGTAAGGCACACCTCAGAAGGGACAGGTCCAAGCTCCCTGCTCCCTGGCCTGGAGCTTCTGGCAAAGCTTTTTCTCTCTGAGCCTGTTTCCTCCTTGAAAGGTGGCAGTAGCAACTGAACCTGCATCACAGAATGGCCTTGAGGGTTAGATGGAACGTATAAAGACATACTTTGTTGAAGACAGAGTAGCAAAGACACAAAGTAAAAAGGACAGATAAAGGAAATTCAACTTGTGCAAAATAGAAATTTCAAAGATTTACAAGAAGGGTAAAGGAAGTTATCGTAGCCTCAGTTGCGAAAAGGGAGAGAACAGATGACCAGCACCAAGGATAGAAGAGGTATTTCTTACTTAAAAAAGAAAAGTCGTTCAAAGAATAAGCAAACTGAAAACAGCCAGAAGAGAAAAGAGGAATTTGTTAGAATAGGGCAAGACTAAAGGACAGAGTAAGGGTGCTGGCTGCCACCTGACTCAAGTCCAAGTCGAGCTGTCACTGTTGAAATTTCAAGAAGAAAAGGTGAGAGGCTAAAAGATGCAAAAAAAAAAAAAAAGATGGGAAATGATTTGCTAATAATAGATTACACGGGTGTGTGCTTTAGAAAGTGACAAGGAACACTTTTGGAAAGCTGTGAGCTGTTATGACCACTGGCATCCTTCAGTGTTAGGCAAATCTATTCTCAACAAGGATAACAGACCATATTAATAAACAAATTGCTGGGAATGGTAGAAATCAGTCCCCTATGATGAGGATGTGAGGTTATACTGATTGATGAGTCACTCCCAGAATAAAAAGTAATGGTTTCACACCTCATTGCTTCATTCAGTGTGGAAGGAACATTCTAGGTTTGTGTGTAAGTTTAGGGAGAAGGAGACAGAGCCAGAGGGCACAGCAGCCCTGCAGCCCTCAGTTGGCCTCCATTTTCTTTCAGGTCTGAAGAAAATGGAACAAAGGATTTAAAGTGCTGCTTGACGAATTTAAGTTAGACTTAAAGGAGAGATGTGGTCTTTACTCTCCTTTTGGTAAGGAGAGGTTTAGTCATCAGAATGGTCTATTTAATGAGACTCTAGCTTCTGAAGTGGTCTTTTTAAAAACTAGAGAACTCTCACCTCTCTGAAGTGGTTGTGTATGAAACTGTTTAAAGCTGAGGATGCACTCAGTGACCTCTTCAGGCAACCCCAGATTTACTCAGTCAGCCATGCTAGAGAAGTAAAAAAATGAATTAAGACTTGTTCTGAAAACTCTTGAGCAGGGACTCTTAAAAGTTTTTCATTTAGGAATTATGTCAGGGTTGGGGTCTGGAGAGCAGATAAGTGTTTTGTGTGAGAAAAGTAAAAGTTTAGTTATTTTCTTCCCTTATTCAGTAATACTTGCATTTTTTTCCTCCTTCTTTATACATACATATTTGCCAGTTACTGACTTCTCTCTTGTACACATTTCTGTGTCCTAAATTAACCAAGGGTTCTCAGCTGCTAGGATTCTATTGACAAGCACAGAGGTCTGGAGGTGTGAGTAAGGGCATTCCTCCCTCATGAACTCAGGAAGCAGGGGAGGCATTTGGGTGGGCGGAACAGAGGAGCAAAAAACCAGAGGACAGAGAAGAAAGATTCCAGGCTAGAAAATGGGATGGCCACCCCTGAGAAAGCAGACGGGCAAATTTAGGGCTTAGAGTAGAATTGAAGAAAAAACCCAGGGCAGAGGCACAGGAATGCTGTAGGACTGAATTGGGACCATGATTGATGTAAGCGACCGGAGATGGGTTCGTTGAATCTGTGGAAGGCTGAAGGATTGAGGCCCATATGGGCCTGGAACAAGGCTTACTGAATGACTTGCTACCTGGCTTGATAATCGGGACAACCTCAGGCAGTAGTTATTCAGGCTGGAGGACCCATGAGTTTGAATATAGGGAGATAAGGTGTATTTCTATATGTCCTGGTACATTCCAGAATGTGCTTCTTTGGCTCTGTGCACTGGAGCAGCCAACTCCAGGAGTTATGAGGAGATTGCCATGGTTTCATGAGTGGTTTATTTCAGCTTGCATCTCACAGTGTGGTGTTCAGAGGCATAGGATCTAGGCTCCCTGGCAGCACGGAGAGATAGAAACTGAATCAGCACAACTTAGGTCCTTCACGTTGAATAGTTTGAACAGGATTT